ATATTTACCTACAATAAATCTCACTCCCTCTTTAAAGTTTCTTTTCTGGATATTTCTGAGCAGCAGATACTCTATCTATCTATCTATCTATCTATCTATCTATCTATCTATCTATCTATCTATCTATCTATCTATTTATTTATTTAACAAATGTATAAGGCCACCCATCTCATATCTGGGCGGCCAACAATTAAAGCAAAATAAAAACAGAATAAAAATACAACCAACAATTAAAAACATAATTATGTTTAATAATATAATAATTATTATTTTAATAATAATTAAAAATGTCATAAAAACATACAAAAAACAATACAGCATCAAATAGCAGCCGATGTAACCCAATGATTTCACTACTCTGGTGTAAATATTACAAGAAGTCCATGCACATTTAAAAATATACAGATTCATACCTCTTCCTTTTTAATATGGCCAACACTCATAAAGCACTGAAGTAACAAATCTTTAATTTCATTACTCTCTTCTGAGTCATAATCGAAACACAGCAGAGCCCGGTGGTGGTGCCATAGACGGGTTATATCTGCCCCCTAAAGGAGATGAATAAGATTGTTTCATGACACCGAGTAGGCGAGGGACATAAATCTGCAGAAAGTACAATGACGAGATATGCAAGTGTTGTGATCACCAGCGATATGCCCGCGTCAGCTTGGAGCATCATCTGGTTGGATGGTGACACTTGGATGGTTCTCACGAGTTGACACTGAAGAGCTCCTAGCTGTGGTTGTAAATTTTGGAGCCTGGATGTCTTGCTACACTACCCTGGCATATCATTCAACCCAGGAGAGATACAATTTATTACTTATTCACCCATTCCTGCCCATAGTTCTAAAAGCATCCGACTTCCCTCGGGTTTATCCAAAGGAAAGGAAATTAATCCCCTTTAAAAGATTTGTGATGTACATTAAAAAAATAAGTGTCACTTATCTCATTCATAAACATGCACGTATCATTCTAGGCATTGTACATGTATTGCATACCACAACTTTCTTCCCCTGACTCCTCTTCAGAAGCATAACAAAAGCCGTTCTCCCAAATTGTTCTCTTCCTTCCAGTCCCTTTTCCCACCAGCATTCGCACAGGCGCTGAATGGCTCCCAACAGAGATTTTTCAGAATCAGGTAATGCATAAAGCGTGCCTGTAACACAGTTATTCAATGAAAATGCAATCAATTTGGGGGCAACAGAAAGGATGTTTGCAATCTGCATATGCCTCTAAAGACGTATTGCTAAAGGTGAAGTTTTTGACGTGGCTATTAGGTATCAAGTATCTTTATGGCAGTCAAAGACCAGTACATGATAAAACTCAATAGTATAAAATAGGTTACGTGTGTGTACAAATTGTAGAATCAACTGAGTTTATTGATCAATCGGCACCACATTTTGCATATGACATAGCAGAATTTAGGTATATTTAGAGCAGTGTTTCTCAACCTTGGCAACTTGAAGACGTGTAGACTTCAACACCCAGAAGTCCCCAGCCAGCCATGTCAAGGTTGAGAAGCACTGACTTAGAGTAACAGAGTCATGAACATCTGAGACATTGCTATCCAAAATGCCAGCTGTAAAAAAAAACCTTTTAGAAAGTGTGTTTTAGTGTTAGATTTAATATGCCTACATTTTACATGTTCCTTAAGGAACAGAATGGTACATCATGCAAGGTTAATGCAGTTCTGGATAGATTGGTGTCCAACCAAATCTCCTTGGTTTTGAAAAATTAACCATAATGTTTTCCAATCTGAAACTCATACAATCAAAGGAATGTTAAGCTTGGAAAGCAAATATCCAAAAAGCTTGGATACTCAAATATCCAAGTTGTAAACACATCATGAGATTCAGTATTTATGTCAACATTTTAGATTACTAGCTTGCTGTTATAAGAATCTTCAAAACAACAAGAGCTAAGCACGTATAGGGGATATGCAATCATTCTAATTGCACCACTGAAGTACAACCTGAATAAATTAAAAGTAGGTTAAGCAAATATGTGACTCTATGGAGAAAAATCACAAGCTTCAGGCCGGGACTACTGCCAGTAGCATACAGTTATGTTCATCACACACATAATACGTACCATTTAATATCAGAGCACATTCTAAAAGAGCTTTGATGTTAACATTTTCATCTACTGTAGGAATGGATGCAGTAACTATAGTTGCTACACCTTGAATCACAGCTGTAGTTAGCTCCTGAAAGTTCAGAGACAACATAATTAAAAAGAGAGATGTAGTACAAAAGTGTATATTTTAAAAAAAGCAAGCTCAGAAGATCCAGCAAACACATTTTTGGAAGAACTGCAAAAGATCTAGTGAATAAGATTTTGAAAGAACTCTTGGCTTGATTTGGATATAAATCCATTTGCTTTAAGAACACTTAACTTTGTCCTCTGCAGTAAATGCACTCAATAGTTTTTTTTTTATTTCTGTAAATAAATATTTCTACAGGCAGAAGATAGATTACCCCCACCCCACCCCAGCAGCATGGCATACATATGCAGAATTAATGTTGAACTGCATGTATGTACCAAATTTGATTTTTGTGTCATTTTTAGATTATTTTAGTCCGGGCTATCTATGTGATTTTATGTTTCATCTGTTTTATGGATTTTTTGGGGGGGAGGGTTGTATGCCACCCAGAGCCCATTGGAATTGGGTGGCTATAATAAAGATAACTATAAATTAAATACCTCTGGGAAGAAAATTAAGGAAATGCCTATTTTTAAATGAGCAATAATTAGCTCAAATCACTATTCCAGTCCAAAGTAACAGACAGTACAGAGTCACATTACAACAAAAATAGCTTGAACAATATGTGCACCTTAGAACATGACCAGCATGCTACTTTTAAGAGCCAACTGCATACAAAAGCATAGTAGCTAGTAACTGAAATATATTCAAGTAAAATTACCTTTGTTGCATTTTTTTCCGTTTCCAGAGCATCGTCCCTTTCTTCTCTCACTCTCTGCCATTCTTCTATGGGGTTATCTAGCAAAACCTTTGCTAACAAGTCCTTTAATCTCTTCCACAATGCTTCCTTTTGCTTTCTTGATAGCTCTTGAAGCAGTTCACTTAGATCAAAGGAATCTGAGGTATCCTTCTAAAAAATGGTCAAAAATAGCTCATCACTCAACAAACTGTTTCATACTGCATCTCACTGTATTATAAAATCACATTTGGGCTTTAAAATGCCACCAAATATCAATTTTAAAAAGTAGTTCAGCTCTATTTTTTTTAAAAAACTCATTTTGAAGACTTAAAATTAGATCCCTACAGTACAATTACACATGTCCACTCAGATGACCTCTCCTACAGGATGGAGATTGGACAATGAAAAATCTTACTCTCAAGCAGAACAATACTACAAAAGACCAAATGAAATATAAGTATCTGTTGAAGTCATTGCTTTGGATATCAGTACTCTCAGGATGAATATGATGATCAATGATAAAATAAGATGCTAACAAAAAACAAATAAGAGACAATAGACAATGCTCCTTTTTGAATAACAGAAGTACCCAAAAGAGTCTCATCTCAAGAAATCATCACTTATGCCAAAAAGCACTCTAGGCAGTTGTTTCATTACCAGCTTTCCTTTGAAAAATTCTAAAATCACCTTCAGCAATTTGTATGGTTGCTATTTTTTTCTGTCGAACCTAAACCCACCTGCATTTTAAATCTGTAAAGCCATGTATACCTGCGTCAAGAAATGATTCCCCAAAGTTTTGCCTTTTTATCCCCTATCAATTATGCATTTGCCAAATCATTTATTTTTCAAGTACATTTCTCCGGGGCAGTTTCTTCTGTCCTCAGATTTAATTGTAAGCTGAAGAAAAAACTTAAGTTAAACAGAGATAAGATTCAAGAACAATTAATTACAAACCGCAACCCACACAAAAGAAAGGGGGTCGTTCTGATCTTAACGCTGATGTTGGCCCTAAAAAACTCCAGAGAAACTCAGCAAAACAGAGCATTGGGAAAAAAAGTTGGGAAAGAACATGTAGAAAGAGAAGCCCTGGAGTGGGAAGGAAGGAAAAATGATGAAGGATATGGACAGGAAAGGCTAAAGGAATGCCACCTGGGTTGCCTGCAGGGTATGGTCAAAAAAGTCAAGATGGTGACCACAATGGTGTGATCAAAGCTCCAAAACTGTTTTTTACATGTGTAAAGAAGGTTGACTGCCTCCCTCCCTCCCTTCCAAATCTGTACATATTTACTCACATGGAAAGGCTAAAGGAATGCCACCTGGGTTGCCTGCAGGGTATGGTCAAAAAAGTCAAGATGGTGACCACAATGGTGTGATCAAAGCTCCAAAACTGTTTTTTACATGTGTAAAGAAGGTTGACTGCCTCCCTCCCTCCCTTCCAAATCTGGACATATTTACTCACATGAAGCTGGATAAAATGCAAAAACTCCTCAATGGCACCATTAAACACAGTCCCTAGGAAAGCCTCACGTTTTGTCATGTTGCACTATTTGTCATTCACAGAAGTCTAGAGAGAAAATATTATGACAAAGAATTTAATAACACAATTAAATGAATTGCAATTCAGCCAAAGTTCTAATTTCATAGGACACTCAGTTTGAGCTTATTACCAGATCAAGATTTCAATTCCAAAGTTGTGGAATTATGACTCAAAATGAAGTAAAATAAATTTGCCAGTATCAAATTTAATAAATCACTAGAACAGCCTTCTCCAGTCTGGTCAGCCTTCAGACGTATGGATTTCAATTTCCAGAATTCCTAACAATCCCTGGGAATTTTCCGTAAGCCCCTCAGAACCTGGTTATGGCATCAGGCCTGGGGGTCCAAGGGAATGGTGAGTTGCTGAGGTGGCTCCATTGCTGTTAATACCTGTTGCCCTCTCCTTGCTTTTTAATCATAATAGCATTTTTATTTTACTTGTTAACTGTTTTTATATTACTGTTTTATAGTTTTTTATTGTATGCCACTCAGAGTCACGTTTTGTGAGATGGGCAGCCATATAAATATGATGAATGAATGTTGAGACCTTGGTGGTCTCTGAGCTTGGTTGTTTGCTTGCAGACATTTCATTATCCAACTAGGTAACATCACCATGATGAATGAATGAATGAATGAATGAATGAATGAATGAATGAATGAATGAATGTTGGAAGTTGAAATTCACATATCAGGAAGAAACCAAGGTTAAGAATGGCTCCACTAGAAGTTTAAGGTAGAAATAAACTCATAGTATTGGCTCAGCCCAAGACAGCCACTGGTTTTCAAAAAACAACTCGGTGTCTAGCACAGGGTTTCTCAACCTTGGCAACTTTAAGACATGTGGACTTCAATTCCCAGAATGCCCCAGCCAGCATGGCTGGCTGGCTGGGGCATTCTGGGAGTTGAAGTGCACATGTGTTAAAGTTGCCAAGGTTGAGAAACACTGGCCTAGCAATTACCATATGCTGAGCAAAGGAGAAAGCAGCTTCTTGAAATTGCACTTTAAAAGTTTAGCAAGTTTTGAGGATAATGGGATTTGGGGTGGTATATAGCTACAATCATCTGCCATGGATAGATACAGCTGGTACAGTTGACCACCATCGGACTGAAAGCTCTACCTGATGAGGTTTGAGACAGTGCCACTGGTCAGCCCACAGACTAGCTCTTTGGAGAAGAAATGGCAAGAGATGAGATTTATACAGGTAGTCCCTGGCTTAAGAACGCCCAGTTTACGGATGACCCCTAGTTAAGAACGGAGCCTATTGTAGCAAAATTCGAGTTAAATACACAATGGTTCGAGTTCATTACACAATACTCCTTATATAGTATTATACAATAATACTGTTCCAGCGTACATACAAATTCGAGTTAAGGACAGACCTTGGGAACAGAACTCATTCTTAAACTGGGGCCTACCTCTAATTCAGAGAACTGCCATGATTTACAATTATACAAATAATACTTAAGGATATAAACATCAGTTTTTGAGAAATCATACGTAGACTGAAAGATTTGTTTAGGAAAGAGGCAAGGAGCTTTCAACTTGCTCAGTGCCATACCCACGGATTACTGTATTGTGTTGGCGGCCCTCAACTTTCCAACAATATGCATACTTTTTAAGCATCCTAGATTAAATAATGGGCTCAGGACCAGTTCAACTCAGAAATAGCTCTAGGTATGGCTTGCAATCTTCCTAACCAACTTACAGCACAGCATTTCAGGTAGCCAGTCAGTCAAACGTTATTTCAGTATAGAAACAATTAACAAATTGTTTAAAAGTAAAAGAGGAGGACCAAACATAAAACACTATTCTTCTCCCTCTCCCCCTCTCCCCATGGATGATGTCAATACCCATAATCCGAAACCAGCAGAGCTGCTGCAGGAGGATTAAGCACACACACACACACACTTTTCTGGCATCTCCAGCGCGTTGCGGCAGGTTCCTGCGGACTAGTAACTTGAACGCCTTCCCCTCTCAGGCTGTCTAATATGGGATTCGAGCTGGGAGACGTTCCCCACCACTGCCACGTCCAACTTATCCGGCGACAGTTCAAACGTACGATTTTTCCCACGGACAGCGGCTGCCCGGCTCCCTTTCCCTGGACTCACAGCCAAGACGCCGCCGATTCGATTTGGCGCTTCCGCCGCCCGATTCGAATTCTCCCGCGGCCGACACCGCTGAACGACTCTCACTGAGCATGCGCACGCAACGTGACTCACGGCTGTCTTCGAAGGGAGAAGGAAGCAAGGTTTGCTGCGCGTGCGCACTTGGGGTTTCTGTTGGGCGTTGTTGCGGGTGTTGCTTTGCTGCTTAAGTCGGCCTTCCCCAACTCGGGGCCCTCCAGACTGGGTGGACTACAGCTCCCATGATCTCCGCGCATGACCGGAATAGAAACCAGAAACGTACAACGATAAGAAAAAAAATGCGCTATTAACTTGGGTTGAAGTGCATTTTATCATCACCTGGTTCTACAGCAGTGTTTTTCAACCTTGGCAACTTTAAGATGGGCGGACTTCAACTCCCAGAATTCCCCAGCCAGCTTGCTCTACAGCAGTGTTTTTCAAACTTCCAAACAAGCCAGTCGTGGGGAATTCTGGGAGTTGAAGTCCACCTATTTTAAAGTTGCCAAGGTTGAAAAACACTGCTCTGCAGCTTATTAACAATTAGCCTATGGCAGAATACATAAGACAGGGAAAGGACTGGCAGCCCGTTCACAAATTAAATTCAGACAATCACAAAGCATCTACTGATATATGGTTTACTGTTGCTTTCTGGTAAATAGCAGAAAGCAGAGCTTGTTGTTGTTTAGTCGTTAAGTCGTGTCCGACTCTTCGTGACCCCATGAACCAT